CCCCAAAACCCCAAAACCCCAAAACCCCACCAATCTAATTAATATTGAAAATAAATCTGATGCTAAGTTTTAATGGATCCTCAAAGAACAGCTCTTTCAGATTTGATGAAGATGAATCTGCTAGCAACTGTGAAGCCGAAGATAGTCTCAAGATTTCCAAGAAAAGTTTTTCTCTCCCAAGAAAGAGCTCTCTTAAAACGAAGAAATATCAGAAAGCATTCGCTTATTCCTTCAAGCTCGGAGATGCTCTCACAGAGTTCATCGATTCAGCAGAGTCTTCTGATAAAAAATCTAAAAATAAGAAAGCGAAGAAGTCTAAATTTACTGTATGCACTATTCATTGATTATAGTTAAATCTTAAATAAAGCAGAAATCCAAGATAACCTCTCTGATATTGATGAAGAATTTTGAATAGATGAAACAGCCAGGAAAGTGATGGAAATGTATACCCGCCCACAGATCTACGATTACCCACCTATTAATTTCTCAGATTAAGCAGGTTTGACTTGTGGAAAAAGCTAGCTTCAGGTAGTTTTGCTTTCTAACTTCTCTTAACAGATATTACATCTCCATTTACTGATAAAGAATATTACAAGAAGTTTATGAAAGCGCAACAAGAAAAAGAGAAGGATTATCTGAACAGGAACCTGCCTTATGAAACCCCTTACATTAATTTCTCGATGAGACATGCAATTATTAAGAAAGGTAAGGAAAATCGATAAATTTACAGGGAAAGAGTCTACTAAATATAAACCCAGAAGCAGGATTCACAAAATGTTATGTAGGTCAATCTTTAATTTCTAGCTGACCGTAAGAGATCTGCATTGGACCTGAAGTTTATCCGAAACCAGACCTTTAGTACGGAATTTAGGTTTATATTATAGATCCGATCGTTGACCATAACATTCAACTCCAAAAACCAGAAACAATCACACTAAACATCAACAAGTAAGCTCAAAATCCCTCTCTAAAACCTCTCCATTCAAAATACCCACTCATCCCCTACAGCAAAGCTCAATTCTCAGAATCAGACACTGCCGACTACAAAATTCTCGTAATCCCTTCACCCAAAACATAGACCCCTTCATTCAAACAAGGCATTAAAACCCTTCTGACCATCTCCAGGAGCATGAAGGACATGATAGAGCACACCAAAAAGAAAGCTTATCCCCAAAAGACACTAACTCGGGACGTCATCATGAAACCTGTGCGTAGTAAGAACTTCAGCCAGCAGATCAGCATGATCAAGTCAAGAACAATTACGAAGAAGGCAACTGAAAATCTTGAGAAGAGACTTTTAAGGAATATATTGATGCATGATAGGACTGGTGAAGGATTTGTGAAGCGGCTTTTTAGCCCTGTGCTGAAGACTAAGGGGAAGGGAGTTAAGGAGGTAAGTGAGAAGGGAGATGGGAGGAATCTGGACCTGGATTTGAGGTGATGAGTGCATAAGAGAAGTGAGAGTTATGGGTCAGGTGAGGTGGAAAATTATGGTTTAGTGTCGAAATCAGAGGTGTCTTGGGCACCTTCTCCACAATATACCCCAGATAGTAAAAGATCGTCCCTTGGATTTAAGGATAGCCCGAAAAATGTATGGTTTGGTATTATGAGCTTGATAATTTTTATTTATTGTGTTCTAGAAATTAAAACCGAAAAACATTGAAAAAAATAATTCTATCGGATTTCGGATTGACTCTTCGTGCATGAAAAAAGTAGAAGCATCATCAGAAAATACTAACAGTAAATAAAAATATTCTCCTTTTCTAAAGAAAGGATCAACAAATTCAAGATTTTTAGGATTTTGAAACTTAAATGTATTAATTTCCCATAGGAAAGGAAATAGATAAGAAAAATAAACGCTTGTTGGCTAGCTCAGCTGATTATTCAAATATTCAGACCTACAAAAGGCAAAGACCTAATCTGAAGCCATATGCACATGGAGGTCCCATTGTGCACAATTCAATTGATGATTGAAGGGCAACTATTAGAACTACAAAGTGCAAAAAGAGAATTAAATATTCATCAAAATGTGTCAAAACTACACAGATTAAAAGTGTCAAGAAGAAGCGCAAACTCAAGAAAATGAAAAACATTTCAGACAATATATTCGGAAGCTTAAAATTATTTATATCTAGTACAAATGAGCCAAGGGAATCGATCAAGACTCGTACTCAACAGTTGTCTAAAGCTAGGAAAAAGAAGGTATCATGCAAGAGAAAATTATCAATCGCCACAAGCTCCTTAGTAAATACGAGAACGCGGGGAAATTCCTACTACGGAGATAGCTGTAGAAATAGCACAAAAAATAAGGTGATCTCCTCCCCCTTAACAGCAGTTCAGTCTTCATATGTTAGCTCCTACTCGATAATAAGAGACTAAGAGTTCATACTTTTCAATAATAAATACCTTTTAAGGGGTTTTGGGGTTTTGGGGTTTTGGGG